CAAGGGGCATTTACTGATTTCAAGGTGTGTCCTTTGCCCATCAGCCACCTGGATGTGAACAGAACAGCCGGCCAGCTCAGTTGAGTGTATCCTCATGGATAGAGGAGGGAGGTGCAGAGAGAAATGTTCATCCAGTATTGGTTGAGCAATGTCATAGGGGCTAAGGATGTAGCACTGAACTAAATGATGTCCCTGTCCTCATGGAGTGACACCTACGGGGGGATGCAAACTATCAACATACATAAAATGGAAAAAAATAAAAAAGGTGGAGGAGTGATAGTAAGTTTGAGGACTGAACTTCAAAAAGTCATGAAAGGTCCTTTGTTTTTGTTTGTTTGTTTTTTTGAGATGGAGTCTTGCTCTGTCCCCCAGGCTAGAATACAGTGGCATGATCTCAGCTCACTGCAACCTCTGCCTCCCGGGTTCAAGTGATTCTCCTGCCTTAGCCTCCCGAGTAGCTGGGATTACAGGCTTGTGCCACCACGCCCAGCTCATTTTTGCAGTTTTAGTAGAGATGGGGTTTCACTACATTGGCCAGACTGGTCTGGAACTCCTTTGAGATCAGGTGATCCACCCGCCTCGGCCTCCCAAAGTGTTGGGATTACAGGCGTGAGCCACCGCACCTGGCTCTGGTGAATAGTTCTTAGACGTGTCACTAAAAGCAAGATCCATAAGAGAAAAATGGAGAGACTGCACTTCACCAAAATTAAAAACCTTTGCTCTAAGAAAGATCCTGTTAAAGGCATGAGAAAAGCTATACACAGGGAGAAAGTGTTTCCAAACAACGTATCTGACAGATAATCTGTATCTAAAATATATAAAGTACCCTCAAAACTCAATAGTGGAAAACCAAATAATTTAATTAGAGAATAAGCTAGGGCATGACGAGGCATTCCACCGAAGGATATACAGATTGCAAATGACCATGTGAAAATATGTTCATCACCACCAGCCATTAGGGAAGTGCAAATTGAAACCATGATGAGGAATTACTATATGCCTATCAAAATAACAAAAATTTTTAAAAAATGACAGTACCAATTGTGGGTAAGAATGCAGAGAAAATGGATCTCTCATACACTGGTGGTGGGAACGTAAAATGGTACAGCCATTCTAGAAAATAGTTTGGCAGTTCCTTACAAGCAAAATGTACATTTACCATATGATCAAGTAATTGCACTCTTGGTCATTCATCTCAGATAAACAAAAACTTAGGTCTAGGCTAGGCATGGTGGCTCATGCCTATAATCCCTGTATTTTGGGAGGCCAAGGCAGGCAGATCACTTGAGGTCAGGGGTTCGAAAACAGCCTAGCCAACATGGCAAAACTCCATCTCTACTAAAAATAAAAAAATTAGCCGGGTGTGGTGGCACACACTTGTAATCCCAGGTACTCGGGAGGCTGAAGCAGGAGAATCGCTTGAATCCAGAGGCGGAGGTTGCAGTGAGCCAGATCACGCCACTGCACTCCAGCCTGGGTGACAGAGCAACACTCCATCCCAACAAAAACAAAAACATACAAAAAACTTGTGTCTATGTAAAAAACCTGTACATAAGGCTGGGCGTGGTGGCTCACGGCTATAATCCCAGCACTTTGGGAGACCAGGCGGGGAGGACTGCTTGAGCCCAAGAGTTCGAGACCAGCCTGGGTAACATGGTAAGACCTGATTTATTAAATAAATAAATAAATTTTTAAATTTGAGATGGCGTCTTGGTCCTCACCCAGGCTGGAGTGCAGTGGCTCAATCTCTACTCACTGCAACCTACGCCTCCTGGGTGCAAGCAATTCTCTTGCCTCAGCCTCCTAAGTAGCTGGGATTACAGGCGCCCACCACCACGCCCAGCTGATTTTTGTAATTTTAAATTAATAAACGAATACATAAATACATAAATAAAAATACAAATCTGTACATGAATGTTAATAGGAGCTTTATCTTAAATAGTCCTGAACTGGAAAAAACCCCAATGTCCTTCAACAGGTGATGCTAAAATGAATCCGTGTTTGTACCATGGAATATTACTCAGTAATAAAAAGGAACAAACTATTGATATCTACAACTTGTATGGCTCCACAGGTGGCTATGCTGAGTAAAATAAATAAATAAATAAGCTACACACTAGATGATTCTATTCATATAATATTGTAGAATGGGAAAATTTTATATTTAGTGATCAAAATGATGGTTGCCACAGTCTAGGGGTCTTGGGGGTGGGAAGGTAGTTCTGACTTCATAAAAGGGTGGCACAAGGGAGATCTTTGTGGTGCTGCAATAGTTGTGGGTCTTCATTTTGGCAGTAGTTACACAAATGTACAGACACATATAAAACGACGGAAATATCCCTGTCTCCCCCACACAATGTACCAAGCCAATTTCTGGTTTTGATACTGTAACATAGATACTTGAAATGTAATCATCGGGGGAATGGGTTTAAGGGTACAAAATACCTCTGTGGGCCGGGCGCGGTGGCTCACGCCTGTAATCCCAGCACTTTGGGAGGCCGAGGTGGGCGGATCACAAGGTCAGGAGATCGAGACCACGGTGAAACCCCGTCTCTACTAAAAATACAAAAAATTAGCCGGGCGCGGTGCCGGGCGCCTGTAGTCCCAGCTACTCAGGAGGCTGAGGCAGGAGAATGGTGTGAACCCAGGAGGCGGAGCTTGCAGTGAGCCGAGATTGAAAAGGGATACCTGGAAACCAGGTATATTCAAAAAAAAAAAAAAAAAAAAAAAAAAATTCTCTGTGTACTATCTTTGCAACTTCTTGTGAATTTACAATTATTTCTAAATAAAAAGTTTACGTTTTTAAAAATCTGTTTTTGTTCAAGTAAGGTAGCACTTTTCAGAGAAAGGTTTGGAAAAGGTGAAATCCAACTTTCTTAGAAGCTCTGCGCTACCACTTAGTTGTATTTTAAAACTAAGCAAACTTTGGTTTTGTTCATGTATCACATAGCAGAAGATCACGATAAGGCCAAGAAAAAGTATATAATCAACTTTGTAATATGGTGAATTAACAATTTCCTTTTTATGGAAGCATTAGCTGATGTGATTTTAAGAGGGCCAGAAAACACACTAAGGAAAGCTAACGCAACAGCTCCCTTGTGAAATAAATTTTAAAATGCTCATTTTTTTTTCTTTTTGTGTGTGTACACATTTAGTTTTATTGTAACAAAGCAACTTGTACACTTTTAACCTTTAAAACTGAGCATGAGCTTTCCTTTCCAGTGAAACAAAATTTAAAACTAAACAGGAACAAAATTACAATCGAGAATGTCAATTCCAAATAAGATCCTAGGGGTTCTGCTGATTCTCCCACTGAGTGGCAGGGCTCAAGTCATCACTAGGAGATAATTTATTTTAAAAGTGTCATCTTACGGAAGGATGTCTATCAAACATCACAATGAAACATGCCGAAGGAGAAGCCATGTTGTAAAATGTCCACTGAACCCATCCAAACATCTCAGACCCATTCTTTGTTGACTTCTAGAATCCCATTTTAAAAAAGTTTTTCTTTCTTTTTTTAAACAAGAGAAAGTAGACAGAAAGATGTTGGTAAATGCTAACTGTCCATATTCACATAGAGACCCAGTGTACTCTCCGAGCCCAACATGCAGAGAAAGCAGGAAGAAAGCTAGAATTGAACGCTCTGCTACGCAGGGGCCTAGAACCCTGCAGCTTCCAGCAGAGCGAAGGGGGTAGGTTTTTCTTTTTTTCCACAGAGCTGGGTGGTGGTGATTCCATACAGTTTTTGCTCAGACAGGAAGGGATAAAAATGAATTTCGAACTGAAAGCGTTAGAGCCTCTTTTCCCATTGTATTCTGCTCAAGGTATTTCCCCCAAAATAACTTGAGAACCATAGTGTAGAGAAACCTCAAGAACAGGGAGACTGAGCACAAGTGGGGGGCGGGGGGGAAAGACTGCAACTTGCTCCCAGGGACTGGAGAAAATGTAAAAAAAAAAAAAAAAAGGAAGGCTGGAATCCATCAGTGTTCTATTACTCATCTCCTTCATCCTCCTCTCCTTCCTCCCCTTCATCATCATCTTGGCTCATGTTTATTTCCTAAAATTATCTTGGGCCGGGTGTGGTGGCTCATGCCTGTAATCCCAGCACTGGGGAGGCCGAGGTGGGTGGATCACCTGAGGTCAAGAGTTCGAGACCGGCCTGGCTAACAGAGTGAAACCCCGTCTCTACTAAAAAGACAAAAATCAGCCCGGTGCGGTGGCGGGCGCCTGTAATCCCAGCTACTGGGGAGGCTGAGGCGGGAGAATCGCTTGAATCCGGGGGCGGAGGTTGCAGGGAGCCGAGATTGCGCCACAGCACTCCAGCCTGGGAGACAGAGCCAGACTCCAACTCCAAAAAAATACAAAAGTATTTTTGGCTTTTCATTCACTTTGACTTAATATAGTTAAACACGTACCCTCCAAAGAGACATTCATTTCTGGGTGGGTTAAATGCTACCTATTGCAAAACAATTTTAAACTGGTTTACATTAGTTAAAAATAAATAAATAAATAAATAAATGGACAAAGCAGTCCCTGCAGACTAAGCTGCCGCTGCCCGAATAAGATAAGCTAAATCGGCTCCTAAAATTTAAAAAGTCTTCCTTTCATCATGCCCCCTGGAAGGTAGCTATCAACATTTTAGGGTTTAGTATGAAGTCGAAGACGCTCAGAAACATTAAGACAAGTGTCCTTACTGTGCCACCGAAAGGCTAAAAGGAGTCAGCTTTTAACGAACGTTTAACGGAGTAGGTCCCAGAGTCCAAATTGGATTTCATCGACTGTTAAAGCTTTCGGGTCCCAGCTGCTGGCACAACGAACCTTCCCAAGACCTTGAGGACTGGCAGCCGACCCGCCACCCTGGAGAGCGGAAGTGCGGAGAGACGCCGGACGCCCCCGCTCGGAGATAAGACGCCGACCGCCCGACGCTCTGGCCTGCTAGGTCTCGACTCGGTAGCCGGAAGTCCTCTAGCGTTCGCCTTTAGGAAGCGGAAGTAAGAGGGCGGCCGGCAGCCGGGCAATTGCCTTGCGAGGCTGGGTGTTGAGCCGAGCCGCGGGAAAGGCGCGTGTCGGCTTCTCACTGGCGCAGCCTGCACCGCCGCTGCAGCCCCGCCCCGCCCTGGCGTTGTCCCTGGCCCTGTGGCGGACTAACCACGGCCCGGGCATAGGCGGCAAGGGAGACGCGAGCGGTGCGTGTGCCGCAGCTGCGCTGCCAGTGACAGGTACCCAGGGGTGGCGTGAGGAGGCCTCATGGACGGAGAGAGGGTTTGGGGCGCAAGGGGACCCTGTGCCCCCGTCACATTGAGCTTTCGCCTCTACCGTGACTCAGTTTCCCCTCTGGTGTCCCATCCCTTCCCCTTTTCGCGAGCGCCCTGAGTTGCCCTCAGTGGTGGTCTTGGCAAGGTGTCGCTTCCGCGGGGGTGGCGGCTGGCTCTGTTCAGAGAGCTTGAACCTTTTCTGAAGAGCTTTGGATCCTTGTGCCGAAGTGCAGAAGGAAGTGGGGGAAGTGTCCTACCATGAATTTAGACCAAGCTTGATCCTCAGTGAGTTGAGAACCAGCACTTTGCTGGACCCTGATTGCAGAACGACGTGCCTTTTAAAATAGATTTCTATTTTTCCTAAAATGAATTCGGGTTGATGTGCCTTGGTTGCTGTTTTCGTTTAATACTGTGATCTGTTGGCTAGAAATTGGATGATCCAGTTTCACTTTTAGTGTGGGACCTGCCAGATTGAGATCTGCAGCGTCGCCAATAACTTATAGATGTGAACTGTTTTTGTTCCTTGGCCAGAATCTGCAGTTGTTTTGCATTTCTTGCCAGATTTGAGAAGGAGCATATTTTGTTCGTTTGAAGTCCTGGGATCTTTTGCCTTATTGTGCCACACTAACTGTTTCGGAAACATTCACTGATGCACTTGCCAGCCAATTTTAGTGTAAAGTGCGCTCTTTCAATAATCTTACACTTGCAAGCGTTTGAAGACCTTTTAAATAGCTATTTAACAGCACCAAAAAACTTGGAATGATTGTAGCCTTTCACTTTGCTTTTTTTTTTTTTAAGCAAGTCGAATTTAGCAACACTTGACTTCCTTTTGATAAACTTAGCTGAAGCTTATTTTTAAAAAATTCTTATTTTTTTTTTTGTAGAGATGAGGTCTTGTTATGTCCCAGTCTGATCTTGAACTCCTGGCCACATGAAACTTATTAAAGGAAGTGAGCATAATACTCGTATAGTAGCATAGCACATTTATAATGCACATTGAACTTCAGGGGAATATATTAAACTATGAAGAAAATTCTTTTAGAATTTTCCTGCAGCTGTCTGTGAGCATTTTAAGTTTCCCTGTAACAATACAAGACAATGTGATAATTTTCTTTTTTCTTTTTTTTTTTTTGAGATGGAGTTTCGCTCTTGTCTTCCAGGCTGGAGTGCAATAATGAGGCGATCTCGGCTCACTACAACCTCTGCCTCCGCGGTTCAAGTGATTCTCATGCCTCTGCCTCCCGCGTAGCTGGGATTACAGGCACGTGCCACCATGCCCAGCAAATTTTTTGTATTTTTTGTAAAGATGGGGTTTCACCATGTTGGCCAGGCTGGCCTCGAATTCTTGACCTCAGGTGATCCACCCGCCTTGGCCTCCCAAAGTGCTAAGATTGTAGCAGGACAAGCCACAGACAAAACCCCTCAGACACCGAGTTAAAAAAGGAAAGGTTTTATTTGGCCGGGAGCTTTGGCAAGACTCACATCTCCAACAATGGAGCTCCCCAAGTGAGCAATTGCTGTCCCACTTTAAGGGGGTCCGCGTGAGAGGATCGTGATCGATTGAACAAGCAAGGGGTACATGACTGGGGGCTGCATGCTCCAGTAAGAACAGAAGAGAACAGGACAGGGATTTTCACAGTGCTTTTCTATAGAATGTCTGTAATCTATAGATAACATAACCCATTAGGTCAGGGGTCCATCTTTAACTACCAGGCCCAGGGTGTGGTGCGGGGCTGTCTGCTTGTGGATTTCATTTCTGCATTTTAGTTTTTACTTCTTTCTTTGGAGGCAGAAATTGGGCATAAGACAATATGAGGGGTGATCTCCCTTAGGATTACAGGTGTGAACCACCACGCCCAGCCTGATGTGATCATTTTCATATCAGATGTATAATAACCACTTCTAGCTGAAATTAGATTTATGTGGTTCACAGGAAATGGTTTTGCTAATAGATACATAGTAAATGTGTGTTATGCTTAATAATTTGAGAAGTTAATTTGTTTCTTTAAAAGGATACTTCCTAATATTTTTCCTTGCTACTATCATATATATAGAATCTCAGATGGCCATGTATAAACTTGCAGATTGCATTTTTTTTTTTTTTTTGAGACAGCTGTCACCCAGGCTGGAGTGCAGTGGCACGTTCTTGGCACACTACAGCTTCCGCACCCTCCAGGCTTAAGCAACCACCATGCCTGGCTACTTTTTGGTATTTTTAGTAGAGACGGGGTCTCATTATGTCTCCCAGGCTGGTCTTGTATTTACAAATAAGTTGACATTACGAGGTACTGGGGGATAGGATTTCCATATCTTTTTTGGGGGACACAGTTCAACCCTTAATATCCATCATTTATATTTTCATCTATCTCAACTTTGCTTTCCTGCTTTATACAGTATGGTTGTGTGCAAGCTGGTGTGCCACCAACTGATTTTTATACCCCTGTATAGTGTAGATTCCTTGGGAAATGAAGCAGAGCCTTTGTAGGAAAGAATGTAATAACCTAAATGCCTTCAGTTACAGTATCAGTCACTCAGCAAATATCTGTTGGACTAGCTAGATATTAAGTGCTATTATATGTCAGAAGCATTTCTGTTTCGCTAACTTATGTTATTTTGTGTCTCCAAGTATTAGGATTGTTATTTTGTGTCTCCAAGTATGAGGTTAAAATTACCTTGTAGCAGGCCGGGCCTGGTGGCTCACGCCTGTAATCCCAGCACTTTGGGAGGCTGAGGCTGGCAGATCGCAAGGTCAGGAGTTTGAGACCAGCCTGGCCAACATGGTGAAACCCTGTGTCTACTGAAGATACAAAAAATTAGCAGGGTGTGGTGGTGCGTGCCTGTAATCCCAGCTACTCGGGAGGCTGAGGCAGGAGAATCACTTGAATCTGGGAGGTGGAGGTTGCATGAGCCAAGATCGCACCACTGCACTCCAGCTTGGGCGACAGAGCGAGACTCCGTCTCAAAAAAAAATTTCCTTGTAGCAAAACTTTTTTTCTTTTTTTCCTTTTAGGAGTTTGCTATAAAATGGGAGTTCTGATTGTACTCACTGTTCTGTGGCTGTTCTCCTCAGTAAAGGCCGACTCAAAAGCCATTACAACCTCTCTTACAACAAAATGGTTTTCCACTCCATTGTTGTTAGAAGCCAGGTAAGAGAACGTTTTTTTCCCCTCCACGTATTTGAGTATAAATATAGGCTCTGACAGTGAACATTCAGGAGCTTTTTAAGCAGTGAGATTATCATCAAATGCATTTATGAAGAGCCTCTTTCAGTGTGCACTGTGGTATGTACTGTACAAAGGCTGTTAGAGCATAGCATCATTCAGTAGGACAAGGGCTATGTGGGTTTATAGAGATATGTAGAACTTTAGACAAATAACTGTGTTGGATAAGTTAGTATGTTACTTTCCAAAAAGCATAACAAGGGAAGAGAGAGTTGTGTTTATTTATTTATTTTTGGAGACAGGTCTCGCTCTGTTTCCCAGGCTGGAGTGCAGTGATGAGATCTTGGCTCACTGTGACCTCCGCCTCCTAGGTTCAAGGGATTCTCATGCCTCTGCCTCCCGAGTAGCTGGGATTACAGAGATGCTCCACCACACCCTGCTATTCTTTGTATTTTTAGTAGAGATGGGGTTTCACCATGTTGGCCAGGCTGGTCTTGAACTCCTCAGTCTCATGTGATCTGCCCACTTTGGCCTCCCAAAGTGCTGGGATTACAGATGTGAGCCACTGTGCCTGCACAGTTGTATTCGAATTTTCTCCTTATTTGAAGGAAGTTTTAAGAGGTGATTGATAAAAGGAAAAGAAGAGGGCTTAGCAACGTGGGGGAAAGAGGACTTATTTCCCATAAGAACCTGGAAGAAGACTGGGTGCAGTGACTCACGCCTGTAATCCCAACAGTTTGGAAGGACAAGGTGGGTTGATCACCTGAGGTCAGGAGTTCGAGACTAGCCTAGCAACAATTAGCTGTGCGTGCTGGCGCGTGCCTGAGCATCAGATTAGGAGATTATGCCCATGCAGTTCAATCTTTCTTTTTAAATGATAAAAACGGTGGCTAGGTACAGTGGCTCATGCCTGTAAATCCCAGCACTTTGGGAGGCTGAGGTGGGTGAACTGCTTGAGTCCAGGAGTTTGAGACCAGCCTGGGCAACATGGGGAAACGCCATCTCTCCAAAAAAAAAAAAATAGCTGAGTGTGATGGTTCGTACCTGTGGTCCCAGCTACTTGGGAGGCTAAGTGAAAGAATCACTTGAGCCCAGGAGGCGGAGCTTGCGGTGAGCCAAGATCACGCCATTGCACTCCAGCCTGGGCAACAGAGCAAGACTCCGTCCAAAAAAAAAAAAAAAAAGAGAAAGAAATTACCTTCCAATTAAAATGGGTAGAATTTTTCATAAAACAACAGTTGTCTTAAAATTAGTGAAACACAATATAGTAAATAATTTCATGAGAAATTTTGTATTCCAAGTGTGCTTTTCAGCTAGTGTTTGTAAGTAAATATAGTGAGATATCTGTCTGTATAGGTAGGGCTTAAATGCTTATGGATGGAAACTTATTTGATTGTATCTCGAGTAATCTAGAGGTAGAACTAGCAGAGACTATCCAAAGGATAAGTGTGGGTAGACTGAGCAGCAAGCACTTGGTAAGTCTCAGCGTTTGAATGTGCTAGAAATTTGGACTGTCACATCACTTCGATCAGCCTTGTGGTCTGACTTCTTCATCTTCAATTTAGAATTTTTTTTTTTTTTTTGACAGTGTTTGAGACAAGGTCTGTCTCTGTTTTTCAGGCTAGTGTAGTGGTGTGATCTCAGCTTACTGCAGCCTCTGCCTCCTGGGCTCAAGCCATCCTCTCACCTAGGCCTCCGTAGCAGCTGGGACTATAGGCGTAAGCCACCACCCCTGGCTTATTTTTGTATTTTTTATGGAGACGGAGTTTCACCGTGTTGGCCAGGCTGGTCTCGAACTCCTGAGCTCAAGTGATCCACCAGCCTTGGCCTCCCACAGTGGTGGAATTACAGGTGTGAGCCACTGCGCCTAGCCTCTAGAGTTTTGTATTCTAACATTTTCCCCTTAATTCCTTAATTCCTAGAAAATTGTGGATGAAGAATTTTGCTATGTTGATTATGTGAACGAATGGTTGCACCTCTTAAAGAGAAAGCCTCATTTGATATTGCCAAAAGGACCAGTGGGAAGGGGCATGCAGCAGCTGGTCTTGACTAGCTCAGGAGCCTAGCAGACTTTCTGCTAAATAGACTTCCTTCCATCGCCTCTCTCTGCCTTTCTTTCTCAGCATGGAAGTGGCAAAACAAGGACAAAACCATTGTATATAGTTCATAGTGATAACTAACTTGATAAATGGGTCCAGCTTCTCCAATGTCTGAACTTTATTAGATACGGCATAGTAGTAAATGTGAAGTGGCTCTTTTTTTAGAGTTCTTATGGTGGGGAAAAAAGCCCAATAAAGCAAATAACAAACAAAAAAACAGTGACTGAAGATATTTTGAGACTGCCTGAGCTAGACCGCCTGAGCCTGGACCCTAAAAACTAAAGTTTTTCTTTTCCTTTTTGCTAATCTTATTTTGGATGATTTGTTTTTGGTTAAATCATGTCATTGAGATTTACAACCCTCCCCTAGGCCCCACTTTGTTTTGAGACAGAGTCTCATTTTGTCGCCCAGGCTGGAGTTCAGTGGCACCATCTTTGGCTCACTGCAACCTCTGCCTCCCAGGTTCAAGCCCATTCTCATTCTCCTGCCTTAGCCTCCCGAGTAGCTGGGGATTACAGGCATGTGCCAGCACGCCTGGCTAATTTTTACATTTTTAGTAGAGACGGGGTTTTACCATGTTGGCCAGGCTGGTCCGAACTCCTGACCTCAGGTGATCTGCTCGCCTTGGCCTCCCAAAAGTGCTGGATTACAGGCGTGAGGCCACCGCACCTGGCCAAGAATTACTATCACTTTCTGATTCATTTGTAAAATTACTGTAACAGTTGTTTTTGTTGAGATTTTTTTTTTTTTTTTTGGAGGATGGCTGTGTCTCCGGGGGTGCAGTGTCGTGATCTCGGCCCATGCAAGCTCCGCGGGTTCACGCCATTCTCGCCGCTCAGCCTCCCAAGTTGCTGGGACTACAGGACGCCCGGCTAGTTTTTGTATTTTAGTAGAGACGGGGTTTTCACCATGTTAGCAGGTTAGTTCGATTTCCTGACCTCATGATCCACCCGTGCTGGCCTCCAAAGTGCTGGGATTACAGGCTTGAAGCCACCGCGCCGGCCGTTTTTGTGAGATTTCTGTTTACATTCTTTTTTTTTTTTTTTTTGAGGCGGAGTCTCACTCTGTCGCCCAGGCTGGGGTGCAGTGGCGCAATCTTGGCTCACTGCAAGCTCCACCCTCCTGGGTTCACGCCATTCTCTGTCTCAGCCTCCCGAATAGCTGGGACTACAGGCGGCCCGCACCATGCCTGGCTAATTTTTTGTATTTTTTAGTAGAGACGGGGTTTTCACCGTGTTGGCAAGGATGGTCTTGATCTCCTGACCTCGTGATCGCCCGCCTCAGCCTTCCCAAAGTGCTGGGATTTACAGGCGTGAGGCCACCGCGCCTGGCCAACATTCTTTTTTTAAGATGGAGGTTGCTCTTGTTGCCCAGGCTGGAGTGCAGTGGCCTGATCTCGGCTCACCGCAACCTCCTGCCTCCAGGTTCAAGTGATTTCCTGCCTCAGCCTCCTAAGTAGCTGGGATTACATGCATGCACCACCACACCTGGCTAATTTTGTAATTTTTTTTTTTTTAGTAGAGATGGGGTTTCTCTATGTTGGTCAGGCTGATCTGGAACTCCCCACGTCAGGTGATCCCCCCTCCTTGGCCTCCCAGAGTGCTGGGATTACAGGTGTGAGCCACCGCGCCTGGCCTCTGTTTAACATTCTTACCCTGAATTACATTTCGTTACTTTCACTTTTGTTTACACTAATTTCTTGATATTCGTACATTCTTGATCATTGTACTAGAAGATTCCTATGGCATGAAACTATGGACTTTTGAGAAAGAATGCTAAATTTGCCAGCCCTAATTGCTCGATATTTTCAGTTTCTTTGGTCACTGTGAAGCGAACAGGGTATACTGTTTTCTTCATCAACTTGCTTATCACAAACATTTCCCCCTTTCATGATATCCCTGGTCATTTGCCATTTTGTTTTATTTTTATTTTTATTTATTTTTTTCCTTGGCATGTGAAGTAAGAGCTACATTTGTCATTTTGGTTTACTATTTTTAGGCCCCTTCTCCTGTGGCTATTGGTATACAGTTTGCCAAGGTAATATGACATGTAGGCAACTCATAGAAATGAACTATGCTTATTTGAATCCACTTAGTATTCACCTCCAGAGCTAGCAGAGCCCACCATTCTTCATTCTTATGTCTGTGGGAGACCCTGATGAAGGATCCAGGTACTCTGTCCATCTGGTTAAGGATGAAGGGTCAGCATCTTTTACTACACTTTATGGCATGCGGCCACCACAGATCTTTTGCCTTCCTTGCGTCTATCCCTCAGGGACTACAAATATTCCTGTTGTGTATTTTTAGATTGGACCTGATGTTTGTGAAGGAGTTGTAGCTTTGTGGTTGTCAATGAAGTGATAGTTATCTTTAATTGAAGTGAAACACTAAGTGTGTTTTCTGCAGCTGTAGCTACAGAAATATTACATAAGCAGCTATTATTAAAATCAAAACTAATAATCATTTATTGAGTGCTAAATTTTGTAATGACCCAGAATGTAGCATGATAGAAGTATAAATTAAATGGACATGAATTTATATTCAGCTTTTCCATTGACTCACTCTTTGTCTGTAAGCAAGTTAGTAGCATCTCTGAATTGCAGCTTATTTACTTGAAAAACGGTTATATCTGAGGGTGGCTGTGTGGATTTGAGGACACAAGTAAATATGCCAAGCTTAGTGACCGTCACGTCATAGACCCTCCTTAAATATTAGTTTCTTCTCTCCTTCTAGTTCTACATAGAAGGAAGACCAATGCTGATCTCCCACAATAGCTTTGGAAATCTAAGAAAACAAGTTGCTACCCTATTTGTACTATCTTGTGGGCATTCATTCTGGTTGTTTGTAGCTTTTTTTGTGTTGTAGATTAAAAACTTGTCCTAGATTATGGCATTTCAAAACATTTACATATGGAGAGAATGGTATAATGTACTCTCTCTGCACCCATCACCCTGTTTTAACAATTATCAATTTAAGTACAATACCACCATCACCACCACCTTCTCTCCTCCCGCACTAGAATATTTTAAAGCAAATCCCAGACATCATATAATTTGTAAAATCATGATTTTTGGGGGGAGGGGGAGGGAGTTTCACTCTTGTTGCCCAGGTTGGAGTGCAATGGCGTGATCTCGGCTCACTGCAGTCTCCCCCTCCTGGGTTCAAGTGATTCTCCTGCCTCAGCCTCCTGAGTAGCTGGGATTGCAGGCGCCCGCCACCACCTTTGACTAATTTTTCTATTTTTAGTGGAGATGGGGTTTCACCATGTTGGCCAGACTGGTCTCGAACTCCTGACCTCAGATGTTCCACCCACCTCTGCCTCCCAAAGTGCTGGGATTACAGGTGTGAACCACCGCGCCTGGCCTGTAAAATCATAATTTATACTCAGTGGAATAAGTGTTATATAAGAAGCTAAAAAAACAAAAAGCAACAAAAATATGCTTTAAAAAAAGGCAACATTTCTTTAATAATATCTTGTATTGTTCTTCTCTCCCCTGGGTTGTTTCAGTGGATCTAGTAAGCAATATTAGGACTGTTCCAAGTTTACACCTTGTAAGACTTATGTAGGCAGTGGGGTGAAAAGAATGTATGTTTCAAGAAGCTTCCCTGTAATTGTATGAAAAGCATGTATTTGTGTGTGGCCTTTACTGGGAGAGTCTTAGCCTGATTGAATCTTAGTTTTCACCACACTGGTGAGTGTGTCACCTTGCCCTTCTCTGCTTATCTTGTGAATGTGCCCTTAATTAATTAATTTAGTGTTTATTTGCACATCCTGGTGTATCTGTCTTAGTACTTGTTTTCTTAGACTATAAGCTATGCTAAGCTTGGTGTGGTGTCTGTGTCAGTTACTAGAAAGCCTAGAAAAATACTACACTCAAGGAGGCATTAAGAAATTTAATATATTATGATAATGGGTATTTTCAGAAACCTATTTTTAGAGAAGCTGTGCATTACCAGGAAATGTGTCTTATTTTTCCCATATTTCTGTGTCTAGCTGTGGAGTAGGGTGAGATTGTACACCTCAGTGTTGACAAGTAATGGGAAGGTCTTCCTTTGGCTAGGTAAGCTGAGATCCAGATCTGTAGTTTGCTTTAAGACAGTGAAAGATCACTATTGCATTAGTATTATGGCTCAGAGGAGAAGATAAGCAGTTGACATGAGTCATTCAATTACTACATGCATTTCCTTTTAGGGGTTTTAGACTCTTGAATGAAGGGAAATTTAGATTGGCCATTATTTTAGTAGTGTAAAGTTGAAAAAAAATTAAGATGGCATTAAGTTCTTGGATCTGATTTTGTTAGATCAGTGCTAATTTTAAACTAAGTTTGGTGATCTTGAAAATTTGGATTTAGGGGTGTTAAAAGATTACAACATGCTGCCTTTAGTCTCCCAGAAATTTTTCTGCGGTTCATATTTTACTGTGGGAGAACTTTAGGCAAAACATATTTTTTGCTCTTTGTAAGGCCTTTCAGAATATAAGTAAACAGAACTAATACTAGAATCATCAGTTCCTAGTTCTGCTTCCACTACTTATAGTATTTTTGTCAGTGGGGTTTCATAAGCTTTCTTTATATTGAGACTTCCCTGTTATGTTTTTATTATTCCAAATTTCTTAAGAAATAGCTATTAGGTGAAAAAGTTCATAGGCTAAGTTATTGATAACTAATACGCTGGTAGGACTTGCTTATCATTAAAAACATATACATAAAGGGGTATTATATATTATAGATTAAAAGTCAAACTACGGACATTTGGAAACTTCAAAACTTATTTTTACTCTCTTTAGTCATATAGCTTATATTAGAAAATTTTATTAAGTTGTTTTATTTCTGATCTTTTCTCCCAGTGAGTTTTTAGCAGAAGACAGTCAAGAGAAATTTTGGAATTTTGTAGAAGCCAGTCAAAATATTGGATCATCAGATCACGGTAAAATTGAAGCAAATGCTTCTTTGACTTTGGTGTCTGGGAATATATTAGGAAAAAATGGTCTCTGTATAGTATGTGTGGCATGGCCGTTAATGGAAAACATTGTTGTCTTTAATGATTGGAGTTATGATCGTGGTCAGGAAGAGCCAACACAACACAAATAGTTATTTTTGAAGCAGTTTATAACTTTGGCTATAAGTGGTACCTTTGTTTTTTTCCCCTCTTGTTTTTGTTCTATCATGATCCTTTATTAAAGTGCTATGTGAATATTTTGTGGAAGTACATTTCATTTTAAGTCATTCAGTATTAATAACCATCTAATCTGATTCACTGTTTTTTTTTTTTGTTATGAACTAATTACACAACTGATCTATTATCTGTTAAGTTCATTGTCATTAAGTTAGTATCATCCAGAATGTTTTCCATTATGCCTGCCAGCCACCCACAACTTGAGTGTTAAGATGTCAAATTAATGATTTATCCTGTAAAACCTCATTTACAGTTTTTATGATGTGCTTTCACATTTTTTAAACTTGGTATAAGCTATATAGGGTGTAAACATTAATAGTTGGATATGCTGATATGTGAGTAGTTAAAACCTTGAATATTAATTTACATTGACAGATGTAGGTTATTATTTTTTTTTAATTTTTATTTTTTGAGACGAAGTCTTACTTTGTTTCCAAGCTGGAGTGCAGTGGCGTGATCTGGGCTCACTGCAACTTCCATCTCCCAGGTTCAATCATTTCTCCTGGTTCCAAGTTGCTGGGATTACAGGCATTCGCCACTATACCTGGCTAATTTTTGTATTTTTAGTAGAGATGGGGTTTCCCCATGTTGGCCAGGCTGGTCTCGAACTTTTGACCTCAAGTGATCCACCCGCCTCAGCCTCCCGAAGTGCCGGTATTACAGGCATGAGCCACCGTACCTGGCCAGATACAGGTTCTTACAGAATAGGAACTGTTTCAAAATTGTGTGATTGCTGTTGATGTTAATGGGTTGGCTTTTTTTCTTCTTTTAAAATTATTTAATTAAAAAAAAAAGTACAATGGAGCTGAGGTCTGTCCCATTGTGTTGCCCAGGCTGGTCTCAAACTTCTGGGCTCAAGTGATCCTCCCAACGCAGCCTCCTAAAGTTCTGGGATTACAGGCATGAACCACTGTACCTGGCCTGTATTGATTTTTTAACTTTTTAATTTTTTATTAAAATAATACATATTTTAAAAGTTGTCTGAATCTTTTTGTTTTGTTTTTATTTTATTTCACTTTTTTCACTCGGTGTGATCTATCCAAATATTTATTTTATTTTATTTATTATTTTTTATTTGGGCTAATTAAAATTTTTTTTTTTGTAGAGACAGGGTCTCGTGTGTTGTCCAGGCTGGTCTTGAACTCCTGAGACTCAAGCGATCCTCCTGCCTCGGCATTCCAAAGTGCTGGGATTACAGGCGTGAGTGACTGCACCCAGCTAGATTTTTATTTATTTTTATTTTATTTTATTTTATTTTTTTTTTGAGACAGAGTCTCGCTCTGTCACCAGGCTGGACTGCAGTGGCGTGATCTCGACTCACTGCAATCTCTGCCTCTTGAGTTCAAGCCATTCTCCTGCATCAGCCTCCTGAGTAACTGGGATTACAAGTGCCCACCATTGCGCCCAGCTAATTTTTGTATTTTTAGCAGAGATGGGGTTTTGCCATGTTGGCCACGCTGGTCTCAAACTCCTGACGTCAGGCAGTCCACCTGCCTCAGCCTCCTAAAGTGCTAGGATTACAGGTGTGAGCCCCCAAGCCCAGCCTATTTTGATTTTGGAAACAGAGTCCGGCTCTGGAGGCTGGAGTGCAGTGGTGTGATCATAGCTCACTACAATCTTGAACTCCTGAGCTCAAGCAGTCTTCGTGCTTCATCTTCCTTAGTAGCTGGTGTTATAGGTGCGTGCAGCTAGGCCTGCCTAATTTTTACATTTTGTTAAGATGGGTCTTGCTATGTTGCACTTGCTGGTCTCAAACTCCTGGCCTCGAGGCATCCCTGCCCCGCCTCCCACCTTGGCCTCCTAAAGTGATGGGATTACAGGGGTGGGCCACTATGCCCAGCCTGAATCTTTTTTTTTTTTTTTTGGCAATATAGATATGTAAATATTTTAAACAATCATCTGTAAGTTTTACTAATTTCAAGGCAACCAGAATTAAGTTATCAAAAAATACTTTATTTTTAAGATTTTATAGAACAAATTTATCAAAGTGGATTTATAATCAAATTTGAACTTTGACATTTAAAATGACATTTTTTTCAGTAAAAATGATAATACATATTCATTAAAGCTATAGGAGTATGAGTTCTATGAACAACATAAAAGTGTGTTAAACATTTTATTTGTTTGAAATATTATTTAATTCCTGCCACCCAAGATTGACACCATTAACATTCTGGCATCATTTTGAGATATTTCTTATCTATTTTTTACATAGAGGATGCTATTGCAGTGTAGAACCTTTTATATTCTGCCTCATAAAATGTTAATATTTGTATTTTCTTTTTAAAATGGAACATTTTATTTTCTTTCTTTATTTTTTGAGACAGAGTCTCCTCTTGCTCAGGCTGGAGTGCAGTGGCGCGATCTTAGCTCACTGCAACCTCTGCCTCCCGGATTCAAGTGATTTTCCTGCCTCAGCTGGGATTACAGGCGCTTGCCACCTCCCGTGGCGAATTTTTGTGTTTTTAGTAGAGATGGGGTTTCACCATGTTGGCCAGGCTGGTCTAGAACTCCTGACCTCAGGTGATCTACCCACCTCCCCCTTCCAAAGTGCTGGGATTACAGCATGAGCCACCGTGCCCTGCCTATTTTTATTTTTTAAAAAAGAGACACACTATGTTACCAGGGCTGATCTCTTGAGCTCCTGGGCTCGAATAATCCTCCTGCCTTGCCCTCCTAAAGTTTTGGGATTACAAGCGTAAGCCACTGTGCTTGTCCTTTAAAATGCAAAATTTAAGTTTTTGTGCATGGATAACATGTGATTCCCAAGTCAAAGCTATATAAAAGGTTATATGCAAATAACCTTTATATTTATATTTATAAAAATTTGAAATAATCACATTTGAACTTCGACATTTAAGATGACATTTTTTCAGTAAAAAATTATTTGTGCCGGGCGCGGTGGCTCAAGCCTGTAATCCCAGCACTTTGGAAGGCTGAAACGGGCAGATCACGAGGTCAGAAGATCGCGACCATCCTGGCTAACACAGTGAAACCCCGTCTCTACTAAAAAAAATACAAAAAAAAACTAGCCGGGCGAGGTGGCGGGCGCCTGTAGTCCCAGCTACTCGGGAGGCTGAGGCAGGAGAATGGCGTGAACCTGGGAGGCGGAGCTTGCAGTGAGCTGAGATCCGGCCACTGCACTCCAGCCCGGGCGACAGAGCGAGACTCCGTCTCAAAAAAAAAAAAATTTTTGTATATTTAAAAAAAAATTGTTTCCTCCTTGACCCTGTTCCTTCTGTTTCTTTCCTGCTTTTTATAACATTTTAAATTAATTTGTTTAGCCTTCAGTGTTTTTTACAACAAATATATACATATGTATTCTTATTTCTCATTCTTTCTCCTAGTTAAAAAAAAATAAGTTACTATGTACATTGTTTTGTGTCCTTGCTTTTCATTTGTCCTGGGGATTTTTTCACGTTAGTATTTGGATTTTTTTTCTTTAAAATAATTTGGTCCAACTTTTTGTTTAAATGCTTCTTTTCAAACTTTAAAATGTCATCAGTATTCTTTAATACTGTAACTTCCTCATCACATGCTCAGTTTTGTTTAGTTTTTGGAATAGTTACCATGTGCTAGTCATCGTGGATATAAGGATAAATAGGTCATAGCCTCTGCCTCTGGGGACCAGAAGTCTAGGCGGGGTATATAGATAGACAGTGAATAAATAATTTAGTAAATGATGTGATAAGTGAAAGAGGTAAACAGAGAAGTGTTCTGGGATTGAGGAAGAGATCTAACTGGTCCATTGAAGCATGGGATAGGGATTGTGGAGACTTCCTGGAGTAGGTGATTTCACAGCTGAATTATTTCTGAGGAAGTACGTAGCTATCAGTCATCCAGGTAAGTGGGAAAATAGTGGTCCAGGGGAGGGAATAGTTTGAAAGGGAAGAGGAGAGGAAGAGCCCAACTGCATTGTGTATTCCAGGGAATGTTAAGCATTTGATGAGAGTTCAAGACAATATACTGGTAAAACTTGCCACCACATACCTTTGTAACACAGCTTTGTGCTTCATGAGCTATCTTCTTTAGATTTCTCTAGTCATATGCAATTACTTTGGTTAATGTTCTTCCTTGACAGGTACTGATTATTCCTATTATCATGCAATACTGGAAGCTGCATTTCAGTTTCTGTCACCTCTCCAGCAGAATTTGTTGAAATTTTGTCTGTCTCTTCGTTCCTACTCAGCTACGATCCAAGCCTTCCAGCAGGTGGGTCCCGTGCTCTTAAAGAACAGCATTTTATGTCATGGTGAATGGATGTCATGATGAATGTATGTCATGATGAATGGATAGACTGCAGTTGTCCTGGAATTGAATTACAGAGCTATCACTTTTTTGCCTGAAATTTTCTAGGATTTATGATTTAAAAAAAGAAATAATAAGCAAAATTGATGTTAAGTCTTCAACCCGCAGATTTAAAAAAAAAATAAGAAAAAGAATATCTGTATGGAAAAGAGACAGCAATATTTTATTTATGCATTGCAGCCTGGGAGATGTAATCTTGTTAAACCAATGAACCAGCATCTAATCACAGCCTGTAGTTCTAAAAGCAGTTCACAGGAAATACAGGAGGCAAGAAATGTTTAACATCACCACAGGGATGCAGTCAGGAAAATCAAGAATACAGGAATCGTTGTAGTAATCTAGTTTCTTCAATAAATAAGTTATGGAAATTTCTATTGTAATTGAAAAGAAAAAGAGGGACAGAGGAACCTCAAGTTAAGAGAGACTTAAGGCCGGGCGTGGTGGCTCACGCCTGTAATCCCAGCACTTTGGAAGGCCGAGGCGGGTGGATCACGAGGTCAGGAGATCGAGACCATCCTGGCTAACACTGTGAAACCTCGTCTCTACTAAAAATATAAAAACTTAACCAGGCCTGGTGGCAGGCGCCTGTAGTCCCAGCTACTTGGGAGGCTGAGGCAGAAGAATGGCGTGAACTCGGGAGGCGGAGCTTGCAGTGATCCGAGGTCATGCCACCGCACTCCAGCCTGAGCGACAGTGAGACTCCGTCTCAAAAAAAAAAAAAAAGAGAGAGAGACTTAAGAAGAGACAGTCAAAGGTGTCTTCACCAACTAGATATTTGATATAAAAGCAAAGTTAATTTTAAAATTATTTTTTATTATAAAATAAAACATAGAAAAACCACTCACAAAAAATATATAGTAATGGATTATTATAATGTGAACATCCTTGTAATTTTCACCCAAGTCAAGAAGCAGGACTTGATCTGGTGCCATGGAAAGCCCTCCACGTACTGTGTCCTGACTGTGGCCACCTTTCGCCCTCTGAAACCAACCACCCTGTTAACTTCTGTTGGAATCACTTGCTGTGTTACTGTATTGTTGTATTGCCCAAGGATACATCGTCATAATATGAAGTGGGTTTTTTTTTTTTCATTTTTCTTTATTTTGGGACAGAGTCTTGCCCTGTCGCCCAGGCTGGCGTGCAGTGGTGCAATCACAGCTCACTGCAACCTCCACCTCCTGAGTTTAAGTGATTCTTCTACCTCAGCTGGGGTAGCCTGCTACCATACCCAGCTAATTTTTGTATTTTTAGGAGAGACAGGGTTTTGCCATGTTGGCTAGGCTGGTGTCGAACTCCTGACCACAGGTGATCCATCCTGCCTCCGCCCTCCAAATTGCTGGGATTACAGGCGTGAGCCACTGTGGCTGGCCTGTTTTTGCGTTTATTGATTTTGTTTTTTTGAGACAGGGTCTTGTTCTGTTGCCCAGACTGGAGTGCAGTTCTGTGATTATGGCTCACTGCAGCCTTAGCCTTTCAGGCTCAAGCAATCCTCCTACCTCAGCCTTCTCAGTAGCTGGGACTACAGGCGTATGCCACTGTGACTAACTAATTTTTTATTTATTTTATTTTTTGTAGAGATGGGGTCTCACTATGCTGCCCAGGCTTAAGTGGCAGGCTTAACTGCCCAGGTTTGGGCTTAAGTGATCCTCCCACTCTGGCCTCCCAAAGTGCTGGGATTACAGGCACGAGCTACCACACTCAGCCACTTTCACCAATGTTGTCTTGTCATAATTTAATCACCTATTTTGTTTATACATGTCTTTATCTCATCCTTGGTTAGAACTTTAAAAGGTGCGTGTCTTCTGTGACAGATAGCAGCTGATGAACCTCCACCGGAAGGATGTAATTCGTTTTTTTCCGTGCATGGAAAGACGACTTGTGAATCTGATACCCTGGAGACTCTTCTACTGACAGCCTCTGAAAGGTAGATTGCGTGTTCCTTTGTTTTCATGTCACGCATTTGCAGTGCTGCTTCTGTATGTCATCTACCTTCTGATTTTCTCATCTGTTTTGTATCATTAGGTGTAATGGTTTAGAGTATGGCTTCTGGAACCAGACTGACTAGATTTGAATCTCAGCTCCGTCACTTAAAATCGTTTTGTGAAATGTGGCAAATTAATCTCATTTCAAAATGAAGATAATAGAAGTATTTAGTATTAACTGTTATTATTTAGTAATGACTGCATCTGAGCAATGACATAGGCTGTGTCATTAGCTTAGTAAGAAATACTGTGTGTGTTAAAGCCAGTGCCTGAAATAATGACATTAATGATAATATCTCTCAGGATATTATTAGTTTCAGACAAAGGAGGATATTTGAAAGATAATTGCAGGCTTGATTTGAATATTAATTTGGTAACTAATGTACCAGCTTCTTTGCCCAAAGGTGGGTTTCCTGTGGTAGACAACTCGGCTGTGTATCATTTTGCTGACTGGCGAGGGCAGCAAGCCGCCTGTACCTCCTCTAATGCTGTTCATAAACAGAACAGTGAGCTCTACATGGGGCTGGCCTGCCCTGTCAGCACTGCTAATGGCAGTGAGGTAGTGCAGGTCTTCTTGAGTGAGGTTGTCTGCCCAGCACCCATCCTCTGCCCACCAAATGTCATTAGTGGTTCTTACTCAGAGTGCTGACCAGAAAACACAGCGTGCACTCCAGCCCTCTCAGGGTCAAGGCATGGACATTCAGAAACAGCTGCATGTGATTCAGTGGTGCTCTCTCGGGGGAAACAACATTGATGGCTTTGTGATTCTTTTAAAAAACTTCATTTAATTTGCTGCAACAATAATGCACACTTTTATAAAGAAAAGAATAATAGTGTGTCCTCTCTGAGAGGTGGTAACTACTTTTAATGGTTTGGCATATATACCTTCAGACTTTTTTCTACGGTTTTAAATTTATACATGTAGGTAGTTCTATTTTTATAAAAGGCACCTTTCCATGTAGTACGAGTGGGTGTATCTCATTATTTTTAACACATGCATAACCTATGTAAGACTGCCCCATAATTGATAATTTAGCTCTTACTGATGGATTTTTAAGTCATTTTCTTTTTTTACCCCTGTTACAATAAGGTTATATGGAGCATCCTTATTCATGTCTTTACTTTCTGCTGAGTTATAGAGTTTATTGCAATAGAGATTGGTAGGTCATAAAGTTTGCATTAAGATCTGTTAATATCTTGATGCCATCCTTAGATAAGTTTTTTGGGGAGAAGTTTTAAAATTTATGAGGAAAACTGAAATGTTAAGTCCATTAGAGGCACAAGCCTGTAGTCCTAGCACTTTGGGAGGCTGAGGCAGGAGGATTGCTTGACCCCAGGAATTCCAGACCAACCTGTGCAACAAAGTGAGACACTGTTTATCCAAAAAGTAGCTGAGCATGGTGGCAGTAACCGGGCACACGCCTTTGGTCCCAGCTACTGGGCTGTGGTGGGAGGATCACTTTAGCCTGGGAGGTAGAGACTGCAGTGAGCTGTGTTCATGCCACTGCACTCTAGCCTGGGCAACAGAGTGAGACCCTGACTCCAAAGTAAAAACAGAAACAAAAACATCCATTAGGAAGATCATAGTAGTGAAAATAGTAGAGGAGATAGACTTAATATAATTGGCAAGTAATATGCTTAATGTTAGCCTCTGCTTTTTGCATTATTTATACTTACTTTTTTTTTTTTTGATACGGAGTCTTGCTCTGTCACCCAAGCTGGAGTGCAGTGGCCGGATCTCGGCTCACTGCAAGCTCCGCCTCCCGGGTTCACGCCATTCTCCTGCCTCAGCCTCCCGAGTAGCTGGGACTACAGGCGCCGCCACCTCGCCCGGCTAGTTTTTTGTATTTTTTAGTAGAGACGGGGTTTCACCGTGTTAGCCAGGATGGTCTCGATCTCCTGACCTCGTGATCCGCCCGTCTCGGCCTCCCAAAGTGCTGGGATTACAGGCTTGAGCCACCGTGCCTGGCCTATACTTACATTTTTAAATGGAAAGGTAATCATATTCTATTTATACGGTAGAAAAAAGTACTTGGCCAGCCGTGGTTGCTCACGCCTATAATCCCAGAACTTTGGGAGGCAGAGGTGGGTAGATTGCTTGAGCCAGCAGTTCGAGACCAGCCTGGGCAACATGACAAAACCTCATGTCTACAAAAGATACAAAATTTGGCTGGCATGGTGTCATGCACCTATAGTCCCTCCGTGAGCCCTGGAGGTCGAGGCTGCAGTGAGCGGAGAGATCACGCAACTGCACTCCAACCTGAGCGACAGACTGAGGACTTCTTAAAATATAACATAGTATATAACATATTATATTGACCAGGCATGGTGGCTTATGCCTGTAATTCCAGCAATTTGGGAGGCCGAGGCAGGTGGATCACCTGAGGTCAGCAGTTTGAGACCAGCTTGGCCAACATGGTGAAACGCCATCTCTACTAAAAGTACAAAAATTAGCCAGGTGTGGTGGTAGATGCCTGTAATCTCAGCTACTGAGGAAGCTGAGGCAGGAGAATCACTTGAACCCAGGAGGCAGAGGTTGCAGTGAGCCAAGACCATGTCATTGTACTCCAACCTGGGCAACAGGAACGAAACTCCATCTCCAAACAAACAGAAATATTATATTATGTTTTACACACACACACACACACACACACACACACACACAACACATACATACATACTCAAGATTTAGTGGTCATTTGAATATGTGTCCCTTTTTGGCCCTTTTCCTCCCTTTTTAGGAATTGGTAGCTATTATTAATTGAGGTTTATTTTATTCTTTTTTTTTTTTGAGATAGGGTCCTGCTCTGTCACCCAGGCTGGAGTCCAGTGGCATGATCATGGACTATTGCAGCCTCAACCTCTGGGGCTCAGGTGATCCTCTCACCTTAGCCTCCCGGGTAGCTGGGACTACAGGTGAACGCCACCATACCCAGCTAGTTTTTGTTATTTATTATAGAGTCGAGGTTTTGCCATGTTGCCCAGGGTCTTCTTAGTTATGATTACAGGCATCACGCACTGGACCTGGCCAGTGTTTACATTTTATAGTTAGTATTTTGTATAATGTACTTTTGTTATTTTTAATCATGAATAAACAAGACTTATACCTGATAGTAATTATTTAAGAAAATATTACTTAAATAATATCATGCTGCCCTTCATATTAAGATGCTTATAATCTTTATTTAAATTTTCATAGCTGTACTTTATATTTTGTGACATTTTTAGTGTTTCAGAATTATTTTTAAAGTTTTAAGCTTTTATTATTTATTTTCAGACCCAAACCTTTATTGTTCAAAGGAGATCACAGATATCCATCATCTAATCCTGAAAGCCCAGTGGTGATTTTCTACTCTGAGATTGGCTCTGAGGAATTTTCTAATTTTCACCGCCAACTTATATCAAAAAGCAATGCAGGCAAAATCAATTATGTATTCAGACATTATATATTTGTAAGTACTGATTTATTTTACACCTGTTTTGAATGTAATTTGCCCAGTGTGACCTTAGAACATAATAATCTCCCTCTTTGTAAAATAATCTAGTTATTTGAGAAATCCAATAGTTTCATTGAGTTTGTTATTTGCACATAAGATGTGCTTTGCGTCACTTTCTGAAGAAATAGAAAACATGCTAAAAAATGGCTTGATAAAGTTTACATTTTATTTCAAAGTGAACCATGTAAATAATCTTTTCTAACTCTAATATGGTCATTATACTATGGAACTGATTGTTGAATTCAGTTTCTTTTCCAATCTTTTTTCTTCTGTTTTCTCTTTGCCACCTTTTTATTTGGTGGAAGCGGGAGGATTTTCTAAACAGGCGATTCATAGGTAGACTTGATATAATATTAAGCTTTTAAGACTCTGTGTAATATTTAGTCATTTAAAATATTTATATGTAAAGGTTGTTAGCCCTTTAAAGTTTCTGTGTCATAATAAGCTCCGTACTAAGTTCATGCCAAAAAAATAAAAATTTTATTGATTGATTCATTTATTTTTGAGAGGGAGTCTCGCTCTTGTCACCCAGGCTGGAGTGCAGTGGCACAATTTCAGCTTGCTGCAACCTCTGCCTCCTGAGTTCGACTCTCCTGCTTCAGCCTCCCAGTAGCTGTCATTATAGGCACATGACACCATGCCAGCTAATTTTTTGTATTTTTAGTAGAGACGGGGTTTCACCGTGTTGGCCAGGATGGTCTCGAACTCCTGACCTCAGGTGATCTGACCGCCTCAGCCTCCCAAAGTGCTGGGATTACAGGCGTGAGTCACATTTTATTATTATTATTATTTTCGTAATTATTTTTAATATTTTAATAATTATTTTAAATAATTTATTTTTAATTCAACATTTTTAATATTTAATTTTAATATTTTTAATAATTATTTATATTATTTTTATAAAATTGTAAAGGAAAATTTGTACAAGCAGAAAGTTTTATCAAAGTCCAGTTTTTGACTCTCCCTCTGCCCCCTCTATTGCTGTTAGGATAGATGTTAATGTCTGAAGGGCCATCTTCAGTCAGGATGCTGGTGAGTCTGTGACATCTGGTCAGTCCAAGCTCCGCTCAAAGGCATTTAAATTTAATAAAAAGCAGACTCCCATGGGCCTCAGAAACATCTCTGGGATTGAGACCTCACCACCTTTCAACCCTGCTCTGTAGGTTCTGGAACTTCTTCTTTTCTTTCTCCATTTCTTGTGGTTGGGACCTTAGCACTTTCAGCTGTCCATTCTTCTGGTTTTGCATCTACCCTGAATTCCATTCCCACAGTTGTGGCAGCCTACAACATGTAAGGGAGCCTAGGATTTTATAAGGAGAGAGATATAGACTCTGAATTGATTTTTAAAACGTATAATCAATATTTTAATGGTAGATAAGTGCTTTTATTACTCTTGATTTTTTGGTAGATTTTGGACTAAAAATATTTATTTAGTGAACTTTCTTAGCTATATAGCTAATATCCTTAAAAAACAATTTAAAGATATTTTGAGTGCATAATCCTAGGTAAAGGCTAGTAGATGCAACATTAACATGGTCATGCTGTGTACATTGTGACATAGAAAGAGCTAGGTGGTAATGGTGGAATTCTTGCTTTCCTTGCAGAATCCCAGGAAGGAGCCTGTTTACCTCTCTGGCTATGGTGTGGAATTGGCCATTAAGAGCACTGAGTACAAGGCCAAGGATGATACTCAGGTGAAAGGTGAATTGGTAAAAATGGGACCAATGTGCTTTCTTCAAATATGAGTTAAAGGGGAGTTTGTTTCCTTATGAAAAGTTTAGGCGTATGCTGAACCTGTGTTTGCATCCTGGTTCTGTTACATCTGAGTGGGTGACCCTGAAGCAAGTTCTCTAGGTCCCAGTTTTCTCTTGTGTAAAATGCAGGTAATGATACATGTCTCTTCCAGTATTGGGGAGGAATAAATAAGATGTGTAAGTAAAGAATTCTTTCATGTACTGGAAAAAAAAAAAAAGAAAACACACCAAGAAAGAACCTGGCACAGTTTGCCCAAAAACGTTCAGCAAGTAGTAGCTATTGTTGTTGATGTTATATGGGGTTTACAAATAGCCATTTATTTGTGACTCCAACGTTAAATCTTAAAGTATCCTATATTTAGCAAACAATTTTGTGTTGTTTATTAGTTCTGTACATGGAACAGTTTACTGTGGATACTTTCTGTTGTAATACTCTAGGGTTTTGAATTTATTATTTTATCTACAAGTTTTAAATGCTGTTTTTTCATTTCTTTCTTTTAAGCTCATTTTAAAGATAAAAAATCCGAGTAGTAAAGCAGGTGGTAAATAAACTACTACCTCATCCTTCTGTTTTCTTCAATAATTGTGTTTAGGGTTAAGTTGACTAATTATAAATTCTTCAGAATTTTGATATTGAAAAATTCTTTGTTCGTAGTGTTTAAAACTGTTAATTTCATAGTTGTCCATAATGTTTAAATCTATTAATTTTGAAGATTTTAGCATATAAAATTTTCCAAAGTTTAAGGGAAAAACGCATTCTTTATCCAGGAACACAGGAGATATTAAAATGCATTTATTCTGTTTGTTTAAAGAACCATTGCCGGCCGGGCACGGTGGCTCAAGCCTGTAATCCCAGCACTTTGGGAGGCCGAGACGGGCGGATCACGAGGTCAGGAGATCGAGACCATCCTGGCTAACCCGGTGAAACCCCGTCTCTACTAAAAAATACAAAAAACTAGCCGGGCGAGGTGGCGGGCGCCTGTAGTCCCAGCTACTTGGGAGGCTGAGGCAGGAGAATGGCGTAAACCCGGGAGGCGGAGCTTGCAGTGAGCGGAGATCTGGCCACTGCACTCCAGCCCGGGCGACAGAGCAAGACTCCGTCTCAAAAAAAAAAAAAAAGAACCATTGCCAAAGGGTGATTGTGATAGTCAACATTTTAAATGGTATAATTTCAGGGGTTTCTGATTTTTTTCACATTATTCAATTTTGTGATGTTTATGAGACTAGTAACATTTTTGCTTCAAATGTGAGCCATTATTATTAATATGTATATTCTGTTCTTTTGTAGGAACTGAGGTAAACACCACAGTGATTGGTGAAAATGATCCTATTGATGAGGTTCAGGGATTCTTCTTTGGAAAATTAAGGTATGTATGTTCTGTGTATTTTGGGAAACACCCTCATTTTCCTTAAGCCTCCAGGCTTTCTTGCATTTTAAGCATCATCTTGTTGATTACTGTCTGAGTTACCCATCTCCTAACAGTACTTTATGTATGCAATCCTATGTGGAGAGTCAACCACTTAGTTTATAGTACAGTTTATGATTTCACATTATTCTGAAGCACATTATTCTTTTTTTTTTTTGTTTTGGAGTCAGAGTCTCATTGTGTTGCCCAGGTTGGAGTGCAGTGGCGTGATCTCGACTCACTGCAACCTGCACTTTCCAGGTTCAAGTGATTCTTCTGCCTCAGCCTCCCGAGTAGCTGGGATTACAGGTGTGCACCACCACATCTGGCTAATTTTTGTATTTTTAGCAGAGATAGGGTTTCACCGTGTTGGCTAAGCTGACCTCAAACTCCTGGCCTCAAGTGATCCACCTGCCTCAGCCTCCCAAAGTGCTGGGATTACAGGCATGAGCCACTGCGCCCAGCTTGAAGCACATGATTCTTAATTGATTCTTTGGCTACCTGCCCACAGTTTAAGTGCATTTTTCTTACCTCTCAGTTGATAGCATTAAGTTACATACCATTTTTTGATTGCCATAAGAGGAGAAACTGAATTGTTTCACTTAATATTTTCCCAGGAAAAAAACGTACTTAAAAGTTTTTTTCAAACATAGTCTGAGCAAAAATGCAAAATAGATACAGTAAATTTTATACATGCTCAATGGAGAAAACATTTTACTATTATTATTTTATTTATTTATTTATTTATTTATTTTGAGACCAAGTCTTGCTCTGTTGCCCAGCCTGGAGTGAAATGGTGCAATTTCAGTTCACTGCAACCTCCACCTCCTGGGTTCAAGTGATTCTCCTGCCTCAGCCCCCTGAGTAACTAGGATTACAGACACCCACCACCATGCCTGGCTAACTTTTGTATTTTTAGTAGAGACAGGATTTCACCATGTTGGCCAGGCTGGTCTTGAACTCCTGGCCTCAGGTGATCTGACCGCCTCACTCTCCCAGAGTACTGGGATTACAGGCGTGAGCCATGGTGCCCAGCTCAGAAAAAAAACATTTTATTAGAATTTGCTTTATGTGAAAGGAAATGGTATTTTTTAAAATTCCGTAATTACATAATCATTTAATGAAAGCATCATAACCAATTAATGTAAGTATCATTGTGTTTTATAGCTGGAAAGTCGTCTTCTTAGCTATTATTCTTTTTTTTTTGAGACGGAGTCTTGCCCTGTTGCCCAGGCTGGAGTGCAGTGGTGCGATCTTGGCTCACTGCAAGCTCTGCCTCCCGGGTTCACGCCATTCTCTTGCCTCAGCCTCCCAAGTAGCTGGGACTACAGGCATCCGCCACCACGCCTGGCTAATTTTTTGTATTTTTTTTTAGTAGAGACAGGGTTTCACTGTGTTGATCAGGATGGTTTTGATCTCCTGACCTCGTGATCCACCCGCCTCGGCTTCCCAAAATGCTGGGATTATAGGCGTGAACCTCCGCGCCTGGCCTGGAAAGTCTTCTTAGCTGTTATTCTAAAAGTTGAAGTTTTTTCCCTCATGACTTGATAATTGTTTAGAGCCCTGAATTCTGCTTTATCTGGAAATTTTTATTAGGACATTTTGTGTGTGTGTGTGTGAGAGAGAGAGAGAGGGAAAGAGAGAGAAAGTGATCAAATAGAAATAGTATATGGTAGGCTCAGTTTTATATACTTCAGCTCTGAGATTTGGCCAAGTGAAATAACCAGATTAACAATTTAGAAGATGTATCTTAGTTTACATTGAATTACATGTTGAGTTCGTCCTGCACATATATACATTTCTTGTTTAACATCAGTTTTGGCCTCATTAGAATGTAATCATATTCTATTTTTATTTGACTCAGGCTTTCAGAATTCTTTTTTTAAAAAAAATTTTTGAGACAGGGCTTTGCTCTGTCATCCAGGTTGGAGAGCGGTGGCACAATCACGGCTCACTGCAGTCTTGACTTCCTGGGCTCAAGGGATCTTCCCACCTCACCCTCTCGAATAGCTGGGACTACAGGTGTGTGCCACCATGCCTGGCTAATTTTTAAATATTTTGTAGAGATAGAGTCTTGCTATGTTGCCCAGGTTGGTCTTGAACTTTGGGTTCAAGTGATTGTCCTGCCTTGGCTTCCCAAAGTGTTTGAATTACAGGTGTGAGCTACCACTCCCAGCTTCAGAATCTTTTTTTCACATTTATGTTGTTTATGTTTATTTTTTGGGTAGCATTATGATTTTATGCATTCACAGCACAAAGGTATTATTGAGAATATTGACGCCAGGCGCTCAAGCCTGTAATCCCAGCACTTTGGGAGGCCGAGACAGGCGGATCACGAGGTCAGGAGATCAAGACCATCCTGGCTAACACGGTGAAACCCCGTCTGTACTAAAAAATACAAAAAACTAGCCGGGCGAGGTGGCGGGCACCTGTAGTGCCAGCCACTCGGGGGGCTGAGGCAGGAGAATAGCGTAAACCCGGCAGGCGGAGCTTGCAGTGAGCCGAGATCCGGCCACTGCACTCCAGCCTGGGTGACAGAGCGAGACTCCGTCTCAGAAAAAAAAAAAAAAAAAAAAAGAGTATTGAGGCTGTTTTACCTTTTGGACATTCAGAATAGTTATTTAGCTATCCAAAGTAATTAGGCCGTTTTTTTTGTTTGTTTGTTTGAGACAGGCTCTCAGCCTGTCACCAAGGCTGGAGTGCAGTGGCGCCATCATGGCCTGCTGCAGCCTCCACCTCCCCAGGCTCAGGTGATCCTCTCACTTCAGTTTTTGTATTTGTGGTAGAGATGGAGTTTTGCCATGTTGCCCAGGCTGGTCTTGAACTCTTGGGCTCAAGGGATCTGCCCACCTTGGCCTCCCAAAGTGCTAGGATTACAGGTGTGAGCCACTGTGCCTGGCCTCATTTTTGGTATTTAAGAGTTTATATAGTTTGAGTGTCTTTTCTGAAATGTTTAAACTAGAAGAGTTTCAGATTTCAATTCTGAAATATTTCCATTATGCTTAGCAGTTGGGCACTCCTAAGTCTGAAAATCTGAAACCTGAAATGCTCCTATGAACATTTCCTTTGATGTCATGTTGACATTTAATGAGTTTTGGATTTTGGAGCACTTTGGATTTCAGAATTTTTGATTTGGGATACTCAGGCTATAGTAACTGACAGGAAGTGGGTTGGTTGGACAGTGAACGGTCTGAGGGAATTCTAATTTCTGTGTTTTGTATTAAGAAATTTTGAGTTTATAGCATTTAAAAGAAAAAAGTAATGTACTAGCCATCTGTCTGTCTGATATAAATGTTGTATCTCTGCCCCAGATCACCTCTCCTTTACTGTAGAGGAATATGCTATATTTAAAGATAAAACTCAGTAACTATGGTTAGCCTAAATTGTATTCATGTGACTGAGAGATTTTTATGAGCATGTAGGCTAAAGGAAACTCATTTTGGGACTGGAAGCAGTTTTTTTCCGCCTCAGTTTTACTTTGAGAAATTAAAATGATTCACAAAAGCATAGAGAAGAATTTATTCCCACATACTTACAACCCAGAATAGATTGCTGTTACCATACTTGCTTTTCTGTCCTATAAAACTATTTATTAAGCTTTCTTTTTTTTCCTGTATAAGCTTTCTTTTACTTTAAGAACAAAAGAAAACAAACAAAAAATAAAACAGAGCCGTAAACACTGCAGATATAGCTGAAGTCTCCTTTGTTTCTTTCTTTTTTTTTTTTTTTTTTTTTTTTAAGAGACAGGGTCTTGCTGTGTTGCACAGGCTGACCTGGAACTCCTTGGCTCAAGTGATCCTCTTGCCTTGGCCTCCTCAGTGACTGGGATATCAGGCGTGAGCCACCACACCTGGCCTGAAAAGTCTCCTTTGTTAACTACTCTTAGTCTCCTTATCTACCTTACAGGGAATTGCTATTCTAGCAATTTTTCTATAAATTTTATGAGTTTTAAACTAACTTCTAATTTTCTATTTTTTTTAAAGAGGAATAATTATACTTCATTTTTTCCCCCTATATTGTAGAAAATTTCCTAGGGTTGGGAGAGGAAAACCATGAAGATAAAGTTGGTTTACTTCTTCTTGTGTTCTGGGAAGGAAAAAATAATGAAAAGGACTGATTTTTATGTTTCTTTTAGAGATCTGCACCCCGACCTGGAGGGACAGTTGAAAGAGCTCAGAAAGCATCTTGTGGAGAGCACCAATGAAATGGCACCTTTAAAAGTTTGGCAATTGCAAGGTAATGAAAACAGGGAGAGGTCATTGGCCAACTTTTTGGCTAAGTTTTATGGCTTTAAAAAATGCAAAATTTGGGTTTAATTATATGTAGTATGTGATTCTGAGGGTGCCTCTGATTTTAAAGATAAGAATAGTTAATTACGATTAGTCAGGGAAGAAAGGAAATCCTTTTGTAAACAGATAACACTAGGTGGAAGTAATATATATAAACAAGCGGCAAGTCTTTCTGTGTGACCATACATAAACTAGTAATACGCGAAACAGGTCATAGTCCTTAAGTTCCTATATATATATATAAAAAAATACACATTTCTTCAACTGTTTATCTAGAGGGTGTTAAAGGCATGTCATTGTGGCAGGACATGTGTGTTTTTCTCTGTTCCAAAGAACTATTTTTCAAGTATTTTTCACAGCATCATTTGCTGAAAGTTCTCCATGCTGTATTTTGTGATGTACTGTAAATTTAGAACAGGGAAAAGCACTTGGGCCTGATCCAGCCTCTGCCGCATGCGCTAGTGTGTGCTCTAGTGTCTTCTGCAGATTTATCAGAAACGGCTCAACTGAACGCTCCAGGGATCTTTGAAGTGAATACAACCTGAAATGAAATCCTGGGCACTCTCTGGAATGGTTGCGTTCTGAGACGTTCTTAATTACCAAGAAAAGAGTGGGAAGTAAATTTGGATTTTGTTTTCTGCTTCTCATTGCGTTAGATTAATCCACTTTTAATTATATTTGACATCATTGCAGATCTCAGTTTCCAGACTGCTGCTCGAATCTTGGCTTCTCCTGTTGAGTTGGCTCTGGTTGTTATGAAGGATCTTAGTCAGAATTTTCCTACCAAAGCCAGGTAATACAGAATAATGCTCCTCTCCTTAACATCATACCCAGTTGTCGTCATGTTCACTTGCCAAATGAGGTAATAAAAATATGAAAATGCTTAGAAAATTAAGATTTTTTTTTTTTTTTTTTTGAGACAGAGTCTCGCTCTTCTTGCCCAGGTTGGAGTACAGTGGTGCAATCTCGGCTCACCACAACCTCCGCCTCCCGGGTTCAAGTGATTCTCCTGCCTCAGCCTCCCAAGTAGCTGGGACTACAGACGTGTGCCACTATGCCCGGCTAATTTGTTGTAGTTTTAGTAGAGACAGGGTTTCACTGTGTTGGCCAGGCTGGTCTCAAACGCCTGACCTCAAGTGATCTGCCCACCTCGGCCTCCCAAAGTGCCGGGATTACAAGTGTGAGCCACCGCACCCAGCTAAACTTAAGATTCTTTATGACCACCACCACCACTACTACTGCAGATGGTGACCTGTGTCTTGAAGATGGCAAGACCATGCATCGTGTGGTTGAAGTGACAGATTTAGGTTATGTTCCTGGCACTTCTGCTTATTAGTTGTGTGACCTTTGCAAATAAACAACCTCTCTTTACCTCAGTTTCCTCAGCAGTGGAATGGAAATAAAAATACCTGCCTTTCAGGATTGGATGGGTCTTGCTCATGTAACTGACTCATCTAGAGTCTGTCCCAGACCACAGTGGTTTTCTTCCCGGAAGGTTTTATTTATGTCATCTTATGTCATCTTACCGAATCTTGAAGACACTGAGCTGTAGAGGCCAAGTGACCTCTAGGCTAAGCCGTAGAGGCTAAGTTCATAGTGACAGAGTAAGATTTTGTTTGAGCCGGGCTTGGTGGCTCACGTCTGTAATCCCAGCACTTTGGGAGGCCAAGGCCTGGCTAATTTTTGTATTTTTAGTAGAGACAGGGTTTTGCCCTGTTGGTCAGGCTGGTCTGGAACTCCTGACCTCAGGTGATCCACCCACCTTGTCTGGTACCCAAAAGGGGGAAGTGGACCAGGCGTGGTGGCTCACACCTATAATCCCAGCACTTTGGGAGGCCGAGGTGGGTGGATCACTTGAGGTCAGGAGTTCCAGATCAGCCTGGCCAACATGGCGAAACCCCTTTTCTACTAAAAGTACAAAAAATTAGCTGGGTGTGGTGGCAGGGGCCTGTAGTCCCAGTTACTCGGGAGGCTGGTGCAGGAGAATCGCTTGAACCCAGGAGGCGAAGGTTGCAGTGAGCCAAGATCATGCCATTGCACTCCAGCCTGAGCAACAAGAGCGAAACTCCATCTAAAAAAAAAAAAAAAAAAGATTTTGTTTGTACATTTTCTGGCATTGCCTTCAATTCTGTAATATTGCTGCACGTCTCATAAATGCAAGGCAAAATTGTTTTACAAGCCAAATCTTTAGAAACTATTGACTTGAATGGTTCCCAGTCATTTTCTTGAGTCACTGAATGAAGTGTTTTGACTTCTGATGTGAGATATTTTGTAACTAAGTTTGTTTATTTGGGACTTAGACATCATGTAGTGAATTCTCATTTAGTCCAGCTGCTACTTGAAGGTATACATGAATGATTCCACCTCCACCATAAGTGCTTAAGTGGGAAGAGCAATCTGCTGCCTTGGTGTATTCGACATTATCCTTTTAGCCTGAGAGTAGCAGAGATCATATATAGAAATGGAGTGCATATGTTTAAGAACTTGGAAGCAACTGCACCTGTTTTATAATGCTATGGCTGCTACATTTCTTTGATTTTGTATCTTACAAAAAATATACACATCTGAGAAAGGAGAAATGTATTTATCAATTATAAAGATTTAAGGTTTTTCCCATCTAATTTTTTCTAATCTGTTGAATAATGTGTTTCATATATTAAAATATGGAAATTGAAGACTTTATATCAAATATTAAGCCAAGCACTCATAATGTTTTTATTTCCTTAGAGCAATAACAAAAACAGCTGTGAGCTCAGAACTTAGAACCGAAGTGGAAGAGAATCAGAAGGTATTCACCGATAGAAAATACTGACCTGTTTTGTATTCTGTCTTTCAAGATAAAGAAATCTGAGTTTAATCAGCAGCATTTAACAGTGTCACTCTTCTTTTATCTAAGATTGTGATTTTTTTCATTTCTGTGATCTTTGTATTTTTAGTTTTTAATCAAAGTTCAGTATGCATATAACTGAAAGCATGAGATGGTGCTACCATGTTGTTTAGAAAAGCCGCACCCCTAACATGTCTCACCCCATTCCTGAAGACATACACTTTCAACATTTTGCTGATTCTTCTGATATTTCTCTCCAGATTTCTAGCTTACATCGGTACTTTATTTTTCACGTTCAGACATTATATATTGGCCTCCTATTTAAACAATGAGGTTTAACTTTCTTTCAGTTCTCCCCCTCAGTGTCCCACCACTGTTTCATATTGGCACTGTTCCTGTCTGTCTGTCTTCCCAATATTAGATGTTGTGATTTTATCTAGTTTTGACGTGGTCTAACGTGGACTGGTTGCTCTTTATGCCCAGTGCATGCTGGTCAGCCTGGGACCTTCCTTTAACCTCCCTTGTTGGATCCACTGTTGCTTGATTCCACGTCGTCTTTGTTTTTGGTTAATTTCCTTATTTTGGTACAGCTCATCATTCTTTGTGAGAAAAGTTGCCTGGGAGGCAAATTTGAAATTCTGAGAAATCAACTTTCTACTTGTTTTTATTGATAGCTCATTATACAGTATTGGCAGGTTATACAATTCTAGGTTGGAAGTCATTTCGAAATTTGAAACAAGACTTCGCCTCTTGGAATTTTAGTTTCCATTGTGGCTGTTGAGAAGTCTGAAGCCTTTGTATGAGATCTCTCAAGGATCTTTTCTTTGACTCTAGTTATCTGAAATTTCATAATTATATGTGTTTTTTAAAAAAATCTCTCCTGTAGGATGGTTCATGGGCCCTTAAAATCTGGAAAAATCATTGCCTTTAGCTTTGGGAAACTTTCTTGAATTCTTTTTTGTGTTTCTTCTCTCTGGTTTCTCTCTCCTCTTTTCCTAGAAATATTTATAAATAAATAAGTGTTGCACCTCTTTAACTAGTTTGGTCTTTTAACTTTAAAAGTCTTTTATTTCCTATTCTTTTCTCTTTTTCGTTTTTTTTTTTTTGGAGACGGAGTCTCACTCTGTCCCCCAGGTTGGAGTGCAGTGGCACCATCTCAGTTCACTGCAAGCTCCGCCTCCCAGGTTCACCCCATTCTCCTGCCTCAGCCTCCCAAGTAGCTGGGACTACAGGCGCCCACTACTATGCCCGGCTAATTTTTTTTGTATTTTTAGTAGAGAAGGGGTTTCACCATGTTGGCCAGGATGATCTCGATCTCCTGACTTCGTGATCCTCCCGTCTCGGCCTCCCAAAGTGCTGGGATTACAGGCTTGAGCCACCGCGCCCAGCCTCTTTTTCAAAAAAAAAAAAAAACTACTTTCTGGTAAGAGTTTTCAACCTGTGTGTGTCTTTTTTCCTTTAGTTGTCAAATATTTAATTTTCGGGTGTTTTTGTTGTTCTTTTTATGGTGTTCCTGTGTATCTCTGAAGACAGTGGTGCTTGTGTTTTCTGTCTGCAAAGTCTGTTTCCTCTTAAGCTACGTTTTTGGGTTTTGGTCTCTTTAGTGGTGGAGGCCTTCCTTAGGTGTCTGGCAGTCACACTCAGAGTGAGGCACTAAGGACCTGGTTGGAAGTCCTAATGATTGGCTTTGTGACTGTAAGGTGTTCTGTTGTGACCGCTTCCTAGGGAACCCCAGTGACAGTATCTTTGTTCCTTTTCTTTTGGGTTGGTCAGTCCTTGTCAGTCTCCAGAAAAGGATCCGTTAGTCTTCTGTCTGGAGGGTGTAATCTGTTTGCTAGAGCTGTAGAAGCACAGTAGGGAAGAGCATTTGGTGACTTGCCTTCTCTTCCCCATTTTGTGTGTGGGGGTCCCTGTCCTCCTTGTGCTTGATTTGCCGTTGTCCACAGATGTTCTGTTTTGTTCTTTTCCAGGGAATGAGCCTTCATTTTTTGCTACAGTAGAGGGTGGCACCGACTGCAGTCACCTGGCTGTGGGAAATCAGTTGGGGGACTGGGGGGTTTTGTCTTAAAGGGCTTTATCTCAGAACTTAGCTAAGAATCACCCCTTGTACACGTCCTGTGTGCTGCCAGTTCCTGAGCCTTTGGTGAGTTCCGCGGGGTGACACAGGTTTCTTGTTGACCTTGCCCATTGTTGGTCTAGCATTCAGCTTTCTCAGGGCTACTGGGACAGTAACTCCTCACCCACCTCTCTTCCAGCTTCCAAAATTTGGTGGCCTTTTTCTTTCCTGTTCTCTCTGTCTTTGTGGATTTATAACTGAAAAAGTTGCTCTACTGACATTGCAGTAGAGTTTCAGGAGGGAAAAAAGTTCTTACGTTCAATTCACTATCTTTACCCCAGATTTCCTTGATCTTCATGTCTGAGATATTAGTGAATTAACTACATCTGAGGGATAAATAAATGCTTCTCAAATGTTTACTAAATTGAAAAACCTTCTTGGGAGTTTATATTTACTTTTTAATTTCCAAAATTAAAACATCAAATATTATCTTAAATTTAGGACCTTTTTCCCCCTGAGGAAGACAAAATTATTCTATATTGCTGTTTCATGGAGTCTTAATTTTTTTTGAGTAAAACATTTTATTAAAGCAAAAATATATACTTTTGTTTTTGAGATGGAGTCTTGCTCTGTTGCCCAGGGTAGAGTGCAGTGGCATGATCTTGGCTCACTGCAACCTCCACCTCCCGGATTCAAGTGATTCTCTTGCCTCAGCCTCCCAAGTAGCTGGGACTACAGGTGTGCACCACCACGCCCAGCTAATTTTTTTGTATGTTTAGTAGAGATGGGGTTTCACCATGTTGGCCAGGATGATCTTGAGCTCCTGACCTTGTGATCCACTCACTTTGGCCTCCCAAAGAGGTGGGATTACAGGCATGAGCCACCATGCCTGGCCAAATTTTTTTTTTTTTTTTTTTGAGATGAAGTCTTGCTCTGTCACCCAGGCTGAATGCAGTGGCATGATCTTGGCTCATGGCAACCTCTATCTCCCAGATACAAGCAGTTTTCCTACCTCAGCCTCCTGAATAGCTGGAATTACAGGTTTCTGCCAACCACGCCCAGCTAATTTTTTGTAATTTTAGTAGAGATAGGCTTTCACCATGTTGGTCAGGCTGGTCTCAAACTCCTGACCTCAGGTAATCCACCCACCTCGGCCTCCCAAAGTGCTGGGATTACAGGCATGAGCCACTGTGCCCAGCCCAAAATGTATGTATTTTATATGAAACATAAAGAAAGAAGCACACAAATTCTCATTCATTTGATGAACTTTCCCAAAATGAACCCATGTATATTACCAGTGTCTAGACCTAGAAATAGATAACGACTGTATTCACCAGCTCAGGGTCAGTCTTGTTTTTTTTTCTGGAGACAGCGTCTTGCTCTGTCATTCAAGCTGGAGTGCAATGGTGCTATCTCAGCTCACTGCAGCCTCTGCCTCCTGGGTTCAAGTGATTCTTTTGCCTCAGCCTCCCAAGCAGCTGGGACTACAGGTGCAGGCCACCATAGCTGGTTAATTTTTGTATTTTTAGTAGAGACGGGGTTTTGCCACATTGTCCAGGCTGGTCTCCAACTCCTGGCCTCCAGTGATTCACCCGCCTTGGCCTCCCAAAGTGCTGGGATTACAGGTGTGAGCCACTGCGCCTGGCCTGGGTCAGCCTTTTTGTATCATCTGCGGGTGCTGTGCACGTAGCCGGGGCGTGAGAAGATATGAATTCCTCTCTCCCTTGGAAGAAATTCCAGTTCTCGATTGACACACCTTTCCATGATCTCCTTATTGTTTTTTCTCCTCTTTTTAAAATTAAAAAGTAAAAAATGCATATTTTTGTGGTGTACAACATGTTTTGAAATGTGTATACACTATGGTATCCCCTGTCTTGCTTGCCATTGAATCCCAACAGCATCTTGAAGCAAATCTTAGCCCTGCTTTAGGATGCCAAGATTTGTAGAGGTAGTGAAGCCCAGAAACACTGAAATTTTTTTAAACATTCTCTCACAGCTCCCTAATAATCATTAAAATTTTTCAGTATTTCAAGGGAACTTTAGGATTACAACCTGGAGATTCAGCCCTCTTCATCAATGGACTTCACATTGATTTAGATACACAGGATATATTCAGGTAAGGATAATATTTTTCATTCTCTGAAAAGTTTTTGTAACGTGTAGCACCTTGTAACATGTTCGTATTGCTGTTCCTTGTTGATACGGCGTAATGCAAAGCCTGATGGCTTACCAGGCCCCACTGGATGGATGTAGGTAGTAGGCACATGCTGTGATGGGTGGGCAGGATGACATGTCTCCATCTTGTGTTACAGTGTATGTTCGGGGCCTGAGTGTTTTCTGAGGCTGTCCTTTTAGAAACGATACTTTTCCACTTAGCCATGGGAACATAGAAAAGAACAGGTTCTTTGACTTTTGGAACAGTGTGAAGTAGATTTATTAAGAATACTGCCTCTGGGCTGCGCACAGTGGCTCACGCCTATAGTCCCAGCACTTCGGGAGGCTGAGGCCGGCGGATCACTTGAGGTCAGGAGTTGGAGACCAGCCTGGCAAACGTGGTGAAACTCCATCTCTGCTAAAAATACAAAAATTAGCCATGCCTGGTAGTGCGTGCCTGTAGTGCCAACTACTTGGGAGGCTGAGGCAGGAGTATCACTTGAACCTGGGAGGTGGAGGTTGCAGTGAGCCCAGATTGTACCCATGCACTCCAGCCTGGGCAACAGAGTGAGACTCCACCTCAAAAACCAAAAAAAAAAAAAACAAAAAAAAAACCTGTTTCTTGTGTCTCAGAAGGTATTCTGTCTACATATATTTGAATACCACTTTTTGGTAAAATGTGGTTCAGTATTAAATTGCATTTGATTGTCTTCATGATTTTGGGGTGGGTAGCAGACAGACAGGTAGAATTCAGACTTTATTCATTTGGTTTTTTTTTTTAATCACATCTTATTTCTCCTTCCTATCTTTTTTTTTTTTTTGGAGACGGAATGTCACTCTGTTCCCCAGGCTGGAGTCCAGTGGCACGGTCTCAGCTCACTGCAACCTCTGCCTCCCAGGTTCAAGCAATTCTCCTGCCTCAGCCTCCTGAGTAGCTGGGATTACGGCACCTGTCACCATGCCCGGCTTTTTTTTTTTTTTTGTATTTTTAGAGAGATGGAATTTCACCATGTTGGCCAGGCTGGTCTTGAACTACTGACTTTGTGATCTGCCCACCTTGGCCTCCCAAATTGCTGGGATTACAGGCGCCTGCCACCATGCCCGGCTATTTTTTCTGTATTTTTAGTAGAGATGGGGTTTCACCATGTTGGCCAGGCTGGTCTCGAACTACTGACCTTGTGATCCACCTGCCTTGGCCTCCCAGAGTGCTGGGATTACAAGGCGTGAGCCACCGCTCCTGGCCCTTCATCTCTATCTTTTCTGTCTCTCCCAGCAAACCTCTAAGTTGAGTGTGGATTCTTCCAGGCTTTTTTCTGTGGTCATGTTTGTCTGTATGAACTGGTACTGACATTGAAACATGTATTAAGCATATATAATGTAGTATCTCTTTTTAATCTTTATTTTGAGATAATTGTAAATTCACATGCAGTTATAAGAAAAAATACAGAGAGATTAATATACTGTTTTTAAAATCATGTCGTGTAAAAGTACAGATTTGGGGTTTTATGCTCAATTTGTGTGTTTATTCCCTTTTTTAATTTCTCAATTAATTTGGAGAAGAGTTCCCTTTTTAAATTTCTCAATTAATTTGATTTGGCATTGAGGTTGAACTGATACATTTATTTTCATGGTAAGAATTTTTTTTAAAAGCTTTTTTTTCCTAGTAAATGCCTTTTTTTCTTTCCCCCCAGTCTGTTTGATGTGTTGAGGAATGAAGCTCGGGTAATGGAGGGTCTGCATAGATTGGGAATAGAAGGCCTTTCTCTGCATAATGTTCTGAAGCTGAACATCCAGCCCTCTGAGGCAGACTATGCAGTAGACATCCGGAGCCCTGCTATTTCAGTGAGTATTCTGTTAGGGTGATCAAAGAACTTTCTGACCAGGAATCTTTTTTATGGTTTTCTAATTTGTCTCCTGTGAGGGTGAAGTTCCTCCCACTATCTCTTTTGTTGGTGTGAAAGATTTACTGTTGCTTATGGGACTTAGTGAATGTAATAAAGTAGGCCCTTAAATGCTTCAAAAAGTTGAGTCATTGTTGCTAGTGTGGTTAAGACAGTGATTTTTTTTTTTTTTTTTTTTTTTTT